TATTGATAATATTATATCGTTTTACATGTTGTAACTTCCAAAATTATTTTTATTTATATATATATTTTTTTATTTTTGTATAATACGATTTTAAATATAAAATTGAGACGCACAACGTGAACCGGCACACTTGTCTGACAGACCATGAGTTAATTTAATCTTTACAGTGTCAAATATTAGTTCCTATTGGAACTGAAAGCAATCGTGTATTTATAGAAAAAGCTTTGCCAACAAAAAGAAACTGTTGCGTTACATGTTTGTGTCTTGCACAACAGTATAAAGTACACGGAAAAAAAAATTTACTTGTTTCAAGTAAACACATTTTCTTGAACTGTAATTTATTGATTGAAAGAATTAATTACTTGCCACAATAAATTTGTTTTTTGTTCCAATAAAATATTATCCTGAAGCAAATAATTTATCAATAAAGAAAATATTTTATTCTAATAAAAACACAATTACTTGTCAGTAGAAAATTGTTTTATTAAATTTAATAAATGTCATTACTTGAATCTGATTGTTGTTAATAAGAGAACATTTTTCTTAAATTTATGACATGAGTATTAGAAATCGTACATTGATTACTTTTTATAAAATATAATTTTTATTTTAAAAAGCAATTTCTTGGTTACCAAAAATATTTACTAGTAACGAGAAAATTGTTTCATAAATTAATTAAATGCCTACTAGGGACTATTTAAGAAAATTATTTTCTCGAATCAAATAATTTTTTCTTAAAATAAGTAAAATTTTTTTTCTGTATATGCATATAAATGAACGAAAAACATTTTACACACAATTGAAAAGATTCTAGAAATTATTATACACATTTATTTGTAGGTATTTTGACAAATGATTTCTGAGAAAGAAAAAGAATAAGTATTACTACCTAAACGTCAGTTTTGAAGCCCATTTTGTCAGACGCTCATTTTTGTTTATCTTACAAAAAAGTTAATTATTGCAAATTGCAAAAAATATTATAATAACTGTTATGTTATCTGATAAAAGACAGTATTTATTTCTTTGTATTTATAAAGTTTTATTTATAACTTTTATTAAAAAAATATTGTCTAAAAACAAAGTGGTACGTCGATATCGGTGACCTTCCTCTATTTTTTGCGCACTTCTTTGCGGAATTTTATTATATTTCCGACTTGTCGTGCCTTTCACTCTCATTTCCTATTATTTCTAACTTATTTCTTAATTGCTACGGTAACATGTTTTTTAGAATCTTAAAAATAAAAGTACACACGTTATAATACAGCTTTTATTTTGTAGACATAAACTGCAAAGAGAGAGAAAGAGACAGAGATGGATTAAAATAAATTTTAGTTGAAATAATTGTGCAACCAAGATTTCTGGGAGAAAGGATTTTAATGCTCTTGCGTACAAAAGTAATATTTATCAGTCGTTTAATTATCTCTAATCTGGTTATTTTTAAAATATTTTTTTCTTAGAATTGTTTTAAGTAATTTATATTGTTACTCGCAACAGGAAGATTTGTAGAACAATTAAGAACCGGTGCAAAACCATCTGCTTTTAGACTACCCGTGCCATTACCGTTAGTAACCGCACTTTAATGTTGCGCGTAAGGTATGGTGTAATTAGGAAGTATACTCGTAATAAGACCCTCTCCGCAACGATGCGTGTACGAGAGTAGAAAGTACGGAGATCTACGCATGTGTGGAGATTTAGGGACAATATATTCGTGTAATAACTGGAACGAGGCAGATATGCAGTAAGAGTATGCATTGTTAGCAGGCGATTTCCGTATAGTCGTAACAGTATTTGCACGATAATTACAGGATGTTGAAAGTAAGTTATTTTATAAATAATTAACATTTTCTTCGAGTACGCACTCATAAGATACGTGTAAATATATCACGAAATTATTAAATATTATCGCGAGAGACCCATGAGCTGCGAGTGTTTAACTAAAAGAATTGGCGAACAATTTTCTGCGCTCAATTAAACATGATGACAGATCCGCACGATGACTCGAGGGGATCTATGCTATGATTTTAGATGAACAGATAGTAGATAACTTTTATAATAATGCTCGTGTTATTGCATAAGTTGTTGAGTTATAATAATAATTTTCATTGAAGTTTTCTTTTCATGAGAAGGCATTGAAATTAAATACAAAATTATTTTGCCGAGAAAAACTATAATAATATAATATAGATTGTTTTGTGATTTATTCTTTTTCGATTAAAAAATAAAGATTTGTAATTTAGTAAAATTTGTATCGTTTTTCTGTGTATAATTAGATATATATCTTAAGATTACTATATTATCAATTTTTATTTTTTTAAATTAAATATAAACAAAAACTACGAGCTAAACAATATATTTAATAACAAAATTAAAAAAAACAAACGTTTCTACCTCACACGAGGTCATTTTCAATTAAACATAGCATCGGTTTTGTGAGAAATTAATATTAAAACGCACATTGAAGAAGGAGGTTACTTGTGTTTTTACGTATGCGGCTGAATCTTGTAATAGAGCTCCTCCCATTGATACTTATAGCGCAGTAATCGGTAGATTGCGATTGGTATTTTTTCAATGGCGGTGCGCATCTTACAATTTTTGAAAACTCTAATCGATGTTGATCATCATAGAATTTGACTGTTAGAATTAAATAAATATTAGAAAGGCTTGGTCATGTAATAAAATGAAATATGTATTAAAAAATATGAATATTAGTACTAGAATATGGCTTGAAATAGATTTTTTGAAAGCATAAAAAATGAAGAAATTTGGTCACATGATTTTATTTTTTAATCAAACGAGAATGAATTATAAGACAATTCATATTAGCATTATATTTTTTCCTCTGTAATATTACTACCAAAAATTTTATGCTTATGTAATAATAATAAAATATATAATAGTAAGATTATGTATCTGCATATGTAAATTGTAAATGTATAATAATAAAATAAAAGAAAAACAGATGAAAAATTTTTTCATTTGCCATTTTTATTCGTAATTGTGAATAAAATTTTTAATAAAAATTAATTTATGAATGTGACTACGAACTCTTTGTACAAATTATTTATTTTATGTAAACTTGCTGCAATATTTTACAGCATCGCTACTGCAATATTTAGCCAGAGATACTTGTATAAATCTGACGCGCAGTTTTCTAAAAATAAAAATCATTTTTTTTGTAGAAGACAAGCTCGTTGGACCGATCCGATGTACAGTGTACAGCGATTTATTATTATTCGGGAATTCCATGTATGTGTAGATGAGAAACTGAAATATCGGAAAAAGTTATCAGCCCGTTAATGGAAACTGGTGATTTCGGCGACGATCGACTCACTCGGCAACCCAATCAGTCCATTCGATTATCACCAGCTACTTCGTGTACATCATTTCCAAACGGAGATTGATTCAGATCAGTTTATGACGTCAATTAAGACTTCAGATTCTAATCAATTCTACATGCATTTATTCAGACATACGCGTCTTATATGTAATAATTTTTTATTTTTAAATACATTACCACTATATTTTCAATTTTTTGCAAAATATTTAGAGAAAGTGCTATTTTAATATAATATTTATTGATACTTTCATCAGTGTTATATTGCGTAATATTTTACGTGTACGTTAAAGGCGCATATTTTGTTTCTATTTTTAAATTATGATATTAATGTATGAATAATCGTTGTTTATGAACTATTACTTTTTTAAAGAGATTTGAAGAGATAAAATGTAACAAATTCAAGTGAAAAATTGTGTAATGGGATATGACAAAACTAGTGTAAGATAGGATTCAATTACTGCATTAAGCTACAGCGGGAATTATTACGTAAAACGGATTTTCAAATGCATGTAGATTAATTCAGAGCACGAACTTGGGATGTGCGTACTATCCGACTTTAATCCGAGGAAAGTTCAACATTGGCAAACGGCTTACGAAGCTTTACGGAAGACTTTCGCAGTACGCGGAAAGTAATACTTAGATCTAATCTCATTTCCTCTAGTTCTGATTTTATATCTCAATTGAGATAAAATTTTAGGAACTTCATTTGGAGAGCGATATTTATCATAATTGTAAAATTATCTTCTCCAAAATATAATATAATTGACAGCATTGTAATACAAATTAATGCATTTTATATGATTAAATTAAAATGAAACACGTTTAATATTATATTGCAAATTATACAGATAAATATTATATATTCATGTAAATAGTATAATTATGTGTTATATTACTTAATTTACATTTTTACAATTTGAATATATTTTTATGTATATAGGTACATCATGAATTTTGTGAAATAAAATTTAATATCATATATTCCCAAGGACACACTTATTTTTCTTTTTTTAATATCGAGAAGAACGAAGTCTTAATTGACTACGATCTACTGATTGATTTATTGATCGTGATTAATTTTCTTGTTGTGAAGAATGTTTCGCAATTCGTTGGTGTTTATTCACCATTTTCTTTCCTGCATTTCAAAAATGTAGATTTATCGTCTTGGGTGGCTCTTGATCACGAACGATTAACTTCGTACAGGAGTACTCTTGTACTCTGACTAGCAATACTTCGGAGCAGTTGGAGCAGCGCCAAGGCCTTCTGGACCATCTCTCATTCGCGTTGGGTCTGTAGGACCGTGTGGCATGTTCGATAACAGTTTTGCTGATTCCGCTGTAAGATAAGCGTTTCTCTCTATCCCTCTCTTCTCCGTGAGAGCCGGAATTTTGTCATTCGCCAAAGATTGAGACGCGCTGAATTTTCTTTTCTTCTAACGCAAATATTTTGATTGCTGCGTGCTCGTGTAAAGAAATCATACTAGATGTTCTGCCTTGATATTCGTGACGGAAGAAACGTACAAAAGTTTCTTTAATTGCTTCTTAAGTGGAATCTAGCGGAAAAAATATCGTTCGTGACTACAAGAAGCCATTCTTTTCGTAAGCTGTTGAGAACAGTACTTGATGTTTACGATATTAAGTCTGGCTGTTTGTTGTTTTTGCAGGTGACTCATTGCAGTGCACACCCTTGGATCGAGCATATAAAAGCAAAGTATTAGGACATTATCCAGACTCGGTACCATGGAATCCCTTCGACGAACACGCTGTCTGCATGGTACGTGTGACAACTAATTACTAATTACAATTCCGTCGCGTGTTATAAGTTAGTAATGAATATAAATTTGTTTGCATTATATAATTCATTTATAAGCGAAGAGAATTTAATAATCGAATTTATTTATAACATTTATTTATTAATATCCATTAATAAATTTATATGGGTATTTGTTGTTTGACAAACTAAAGTTAATTAATTAAATTAATAATGTAAAATATAAAAGTTTTTTCTACGTCACGTAGAAAGTTGTCATCTTCGAAGTATTTTCAATTCTAATTAGATTTAGGGAAGATTTGCGTCTCACGCAGCCGAGGGGAGTAACTTATTGATTACATTGATAATAGCTTTGTCTGCCAAGCGGTTTACGATTTCGTACACAAAAGCACTCGGTGGAGCCGACCTTCCACTCTTTCGTCCTGACGAAAGAAGATGGTCACAGAACATACGGATTCAGCCTCGTTTTCTACGAGGAGTGTCGCAATCGCAAAATATGCTCCGCTATGCAAACGCTGCAGGCGATGCACATCACGGAGCTCAGCAGCGGTCAAAACGGCACGCCCCCCACGTATGTTTGCTTTCTCCTCATTGTCAGTGTCAAATTTCTTGATAACTTGGAAATTCTTATTTTTCCTTCTTGTTGAAGTAAAATTTACTTGTGTGAAATTCATTAAAAATTAAGAATTTGATAAACTAAAAATCATGATTTTGAATACAGATAACTGAAAAACGTGAAAATGCATGCAAACCGATGCAAACTGCTCTTTTCTTGCATATATTATAAACATTTCTTTGTCTATTGTCTTATATATATTTTTGAGTTTATAAAACATATTTTACGATTTTTTTGCAGTGCGAGGAAGGGTCAGGATGGACATAACACGAGATCGCTGCCTCGTCATTTTAAATTGTCGGCTCATTCACCTGGTGCTGCGTTAGGATATTATGATTCTACCAAAGACAAGTTGCTAGTGACTAAATCAATATCCTTGCTATGCCAACAACCTTACCTCCATGCGACAAAGACGTTCCTCACTAATCTCTATAAGTAAGATATCTCGCGAGTCTTATAAAGCTCCATTGAAACGAGCTGACACAGCTCTATTCTTCTTATATAACTATGTTTATGCTACGCTTCATAAGAGTACTTAAAAGTACAAGTGATAATATAATGTTAGAGCGCTGCATCAATTCTGTCTGTTAATGAATATAAAAGATAGGAATTCAATTTTTTAAAAAAGATTTGTTAATTAAGATTTTTTTAGTTTGCTTATCTCATCACTTTTAATTTTTGTTAGAGGTGCTGCTCAAATATGTTTAAGCTTGTATCTCCAGCACGAAATTCTGCAAATTACTGATGCAGTGCAAACATACAATCTTTATTAAATATAGAAATATTTTTTATATATCTATCGTTATAGTCAAATTAAGACTTTCGCAATATGTAATACTGCTGTCTTTAGTTCACTAATTATTTGAAATATTTATACAATTTCGGGATATTTAATCAACGATAATAAAAATTTATTTATTTATTATTTATAAGATATCTTATGGAGAAAGTTATCTAGAGATGGAGGAATTGACTATTAGTTTTTCGTATGCTGTTTAGATATCGTTCAAAAAGCTAGAGATTTTTTAGAAGTGATAGACATTCTGTTTGGCAGAATTTATGCACAACAACTTATGTATATTATTATAACATTAAAAACTATGAAATAATTAAATGAATTTTTTTAGATGTGTTCCTAGACATCCTGGACCTGGTCTTAGCTTAGAATCTTACGTATATAACCTTCTATATAACGTACCAGTACCGTTATCTGGCAAATCGTTGAAGTTTTTTGTACCTAACGATGAACCGGCAAAATCGCCATTAGAATTGGTTATCCATCAGCCGTCTCCATCGCTGGAGTTACCGATGTTGGACTATCCTCTCAAGGATGTGTTCACGTGGTTGGGTGCAGATTGCCTAATCCAATTGTTCACATGCGTGCTGTTGGAGAATCAAGTTCTGTTGAGAAGCGCTGATTTTCACAAGCTGATGGTGGTGTCTGAATGCATAACGGCGCTCTTGTTTCCTTTCTCGTGGCAACACGTTTACGTACCAATATTACCCGCCAGTCTGCATCACTTCTTAGATGCACCTGTGCCCTTCATAATGGGTTTACATGCGCACAATGAGGGTGGTGTATTGAAAATCGCTAGCGAAGTATGTTCACTTAGATCTTTCTTCTATATTTCATTCTTTTATTAAATTTGAGAAAAATATTTTATGAAAAAAATGAGCAATTATGTATTACTAATTATGAATAATATCAATCGTGTTTGATTACAGGCAAATCTTTGTTATGTAGATATAGATAAGCAAAGTAGCCAATTTCCGGAAGAATTACCCGTGTTTCCTCATAAGATGCAATTTATTAATGAGATCAGAGCGCTTCTAAACAAGTACAAAATACCACATTCAGGAAAGTGAGTTACTTGTTTCTAAATCGAGATATAAATTCGATTGTTACTCTGTATCTAAATCAAGCAAAATCTTTATAGGACTGATAATATGGTTATTAACTATTATAATGGTGATATCATGACCAGTAGCCTGACACTTCCCGGTTCTGGTTTTCATCTTCCTCGCAGAAAACATTCTTTGCACGATGTGTTAGATTGGGATCGGCCGGAACCAGGACCACAGTCAGACAATCTGCAAAGAACAGTAGATATTGTTAAAAGACCAGGTAAGACGATTTCTTGATATATAAAACGACATATTATTATCAGGATTATATTTCCAAGTTTTTAATTTTTCTCTGCTTACAGTAAACATGGATGACATTGATCCTATAGAGGATACCACGGAAAAAATACTCACGCCACAAGAAGAATATCAAGAGACTCTTATCTTTAATAATGCTATTAGGGAGATTTTTTTGAACCGTTTTGTACAAATGTTTTCTAGTTATGAACATTTTGTTATTCAACCAAGTCAGGTACGGGCATACTACACTTCTACAAAATTAGAACCTGCCACTTGTAATTATAACAAAGTTATAATAAATTTTATCTTGTAGAACAAGGATGAATGGATAAATAACAGGGATAGTATGCATGTTTTTGACAAGGCCACGTTTTTATCTGATCAGCCGACACAGCATCTGCCATTTTTGTCGAGATTCCTGGAAACACAGATGTTCGCTTCTCTTGTTGACAGCAAAGTCATGTCGACGTGGAGTGAACTCGACTGTAACATTAAAGTTTTCGACCAAAGAATCTCTGCTTTAAAGTAAGTCATAATAATGATATAATGTTCTTTTTACTTTTTTTAAACGACTTCTACTTAGATAAATAAGGTTAAAAATACATAACATTTTTTAATCCACGTTTGATCTACATTATATTTTAGGAAAAAAGTCGGAGAAAGTATTATACGATCAATGCGATACGAGTCTTGCACAAGCATCGCAGATACGCAACAAATACTCGAACAGAGATTAATTAATATAGATTTTGAAACAAATCCGCCTGCGGAGATTCTTCCTCATAGAGCCGCATATTTTCGGAGTTTTCCGTTGCTGGATAACGTCGCGTTGAATAAGGAACCTGCTCAAAGGTATGTTATTCGTAATATTTTTATTTAAACAATATAATCTTCTATTTCTAAATTTATTAATGTCTGCTATTCCTATTTTGTGCTTCCTGTGTAGTATACTTCGGTAAGAAACCACATTTAATATAAACAGAATAAGAGGCTTACAGTAGAGTACATATATTTGATTCATTTTGTTCTAAATCCTTCAAAAATAT